ACATAAAGTGGAATCACTTTATTTAATATTAAGACCTTATTTGGACTTTACTCATATAAAAATTTATGGTAATACTGATTTGATTAACTTTGTAATATAAACTTATGCTGTAAAGTTTAATTGTCAAATACTTCAAATAAACAGTTTTAAATGCTATTTCACCATTCACTTGAAAATTAACACTTGTGCTAATATAATTATTTTTGTTTATTGTATGCCTTTGTAGGGATACATTTATGATCTAAGTTTGAGTATTGTGTATATGTGAGAGAAATTCTTTTTTTTTACTTTAAATCATCTTTTTATTTTTCAATTACAGTTGACATATAATATCATATTAGTTTCAGATGTACACTGAATGGCCAGATTATTATGATCTCTGAATAATAATCTGGCCACTGAGCGTGTGTGTGTGTGTGTGTGTGTGTGTGTGATATATATATATATATATTAGAGGCCTGGTGCATGAATTTGTGCATGGTTTGGCCAGCCTGGAAGAGAGGGGACAGGGACAGTTGACCAGCCTGCCTGCTGGTCCAACTTCTGGTAGAGAGGACAATTTGCATATTAACCTTTTATTATATAGAGTAGGGGTGTTGAACTCAATCAGAGAAGGGGCCAAAATCTAAAATCCAGCCTAAATCGCGGGCCGAATGGTTTACTGAACAGTCATAAACTGTCATTGTGATGGAAACGCAGCGGAGTGCAGTGATGACAGCGCGGTGCGGGCCACATTGCAAGGCCTGGCGGGACGGATTTGGCCCGCGGGCCTTGTGTTTGACACATGTGATAAAGAGTATACACTAAGTGGCCAGATTATTATGCTTTCAGAGATTAGACATTATATCACGTACTAAGTGATCATCCTGATAAATTTCATACCCATTTCTCACCATATGTAGTTATTAGAATCTTATTGACTATATTCCCTATGCTGTACTTTACATCCCCATGACTATTCTGTAACTACCAATTTGTACTTCTTAATCCCTTCACCTTTTTCACTCATTCCCCCTCCCATCTGGCAACGGTCAAAATGTTCATTGTATCTATGAGTCTGTTTCTGTTCTGCTAGTTCATTTATTTTTTAGGTTTAATTATTGTTGGGTATGTATTATTACCATTTTATCATTCATTTTTACCTGAGATGGGCAGTCCAGTTGCATCCCTTATGTGTACACCCTCTTCTTGTAGTTGAGCTTTGATTGCTGTTGGCAGTTCGGTGGGAAGGACTTAACCCCAGCCGATAGACCGCGAGGACTGGCTGGGACCACCATGGAGTATCAGCTGTGCAGGGGCCCACCCACAGAGTAGGACTTACTTCAGTGCAGCTCTGTTGCCTGCTGAGTCCGCCATTTGAGTTTGTCACTTGTGAAAGTGGTTGGGTGGTACTTCTATGTGATTTAAAGCTGTCCATCAGGTGTGTTCGCTGTGGTGGTTCTGTAGTTGTAATTTTGATGTAGTTGTAGGAGAATGTGAGTATGGCATTTACTGATGCTACCATCTTGACCAAAAGCCCTATGTGAAAGTAATATTTAAAAACTATTCTTGCCGAAACCGGTTTGGCTCAGTGGTAGAGCATCGGTTTGCGGACTGAAAGGTCCCGGGTTCGATTCCGGTCAAGGGCATGTACATTGGTTGCGGGCACATCCCCGGTAGGGGGTGTGCAAGAGGCAACTGGTCGATGTTTCTCTCTCATCGACGTTTCTAGCTCTCTATCTCTCTCCCTTCCTCTCTGTAAAAAATGAATAAAAAATATTTTTAAAAAAACAAAAAACTATTCTTATGACTGACACTTTTCATAGTTTCAGACTCACTTTGACAGAGGCCAATTTGAGGTTCCTTTCTTTTTCTGGGTCTAGTGCTGCTAAAATATTTTATACCATAAAAAAAAGTAGGGCCTGCACTTTTCATTATAACAACATGGTTGGCATTTATTTTATGCATAACTCATCTGAAGATTGTCTCTTTTTTACAGTAAAAGTAGATACCAGGTACACTCCAATGTTAATCCTCATATTTTGTCTTAAAGCTAAAATAAATCCATCCATTGAAATAGTGTAAAGAAAATTACAACACATTTAAATAAGGATTAGAATTGTGTGATTTTTTTATTATCTAATTTTAGCTAAAAACTCCCATAAGACTTCTGTATCACAAATTATTTTATCTTATTTCTCAGGATCCTGGATGTTCGGGACTTCATTGTACAGTCCCGTCCTGAATTTGCAACTCTTGACTTTATTCTTGTAACTTCATTTCCAAGCAAAGAGCTAACAGATGAAAGCCTAACACTACAAGAAGCAGGTATTATTAACACTGTGATTCTCCAGCAACTGAAATAATGCTACTTCTATTCATATAGTAATGCAAAGGAGAGATGATGTGCCATATTAATAAGGAAAACTTACTTATACAAATATCAAATTGTTTTTATAATTTATACAGATTCATTTTGGTTTTATTCTTATTTTATCATCCACCCTTAGTATAGATGAATTGGACTAGGAGTAGATCTTGAGATAAATATCTTTGAATTATTATTTGTAGGGCTGGCTTATGTTGATAGCATTTAAATACACACAAACCAATTTGTTACATGCCCAGAGTTGATGTAACAATATTTGTTGACAGAGAAAATTAACACAATTCCATTTTGATTAATTTGGTAAAATTTGCAGTGAAGTTTCTTGATGATGCATTGATCAAAAGCCATTAAGGAATTTCCTGATCAAATGTTTTGAAAATTTACCTGTAATATATACTAAAGAGTAACTATTCTGATTTTGAAATATTTTGATCATACAATGATTGTTTCTCCTATTAAGATATTATACATCCTTTTTACTTACTGACTTAGCTATATTACTATATCAAAAGTACAGTTCAGTCTTATATTTTATGGAACTGTGAATATTATAAACTTGAAACAAACATAAAGGTCAGTTATTCTTGAGATGTGGTAAACAGTACTTTAAAAAAGAGGAATTACAGTCCCTCCTAGCGCTTGTTTTGATTACATTCATTTATTCAGCCAACACATTTTTCTAGGGGGCCCACTATAGAAACTAAACTGTGCTAAGTGTCAAATCCAGAATGTTTTCTACTTAAGAACAAAACCAGCATAGATATACAGGAATATCAATTCTGTCAGGCCCAATGAATCTGAAAAAAGACCAGCGGAAAGGTTTGCATTCCTGCTGAAGCCAGGTGTTTCCTGAGTGAGGCAGGCACATCAGGAATGATAGAAAAGCTTGCCTTTCTTCCCAGACACCATTTTATCTTAGGTTAGTTTTCTATTGCTGCTATAACAAGTTACTACAAACTTAGTAACTCATAACAGCAAAGATTTATTATTCCCTAATTCTGTAGGTTAAACTAGTCTCCGTGGGCTAAAGTCAGGTGCTGACAGGACTGCATTCTTTCAGGAGACTCTGAGAGAAGCGTTTTCTGGCCCTTTCAACTTCTGGAGGCCACTTGCATTGGTGGGCCTGTGGCCCTCTGTTCCCATCTTCAAAGCCAGCAGCATTGTATCTTTCCTACCGTTCTGTCATCATATTTCTGTGACAACAGCCAGGAAAGGTTTTCTGCTTTTAAGGACTCGTGTGATTACATTGGGTCCACAAGATCATCCAGGTCTGTAGTAACCTTAACCACATCTTTAAAGTCCCTTTGACCATGTAGAGTAGCATCTCAGATTCCTTCTGGAGGCTCCCGGAGTGAATCTGTTCTTTGCCTTTTCCAACCGGTAGAAGCTGTTGGCATTCCCTCAGTTACGGCTCTATCCCTCCAGTCTCTGCTTCTGTTCTTACCTCTTTTAGTCCCAACTTTAATTCTGCTTTTCTCTTATTAGATCCTTGTGATTATATTTTGTTTTCCTACATAATCTCTCAAAATGCTTACTATAATTACATCTGCAAAATGCAGAGATTTGAGCATTAGAACCTGAGCATTTTGTTGGGGCCATTTTCTCTACCACAGTTTACTCCTGCCTCAAAATTTCACATCCATCCCAAATAAAGTTACCCCATCCAGTGGTGCTCAAAAGTTTCAAACCATTACAGCATCAACTTCAAATGCACTGTCTTATCTGAATTTCACCCTCTCAAAAATTCTAAGTCTTATTTTTAATCATCTAAGATAGGTATGAGTAAGGATTTGGGTGCCATTCCTGAAAGATACTTTTTCTCCACATCTGTGAACCTAGAACCAGTTAACTTCTCCCAAATATGAAGGGAAGACAGGCATAGAATAACAGTTATAGGCATTCCTGTTCAAAGAATTGGAAAATGGAATAAAAAAAAGGAGCTTCCAGTGCCAGGCAATTTAGAAAATGAGCCAGGCACACTCCGTTCAGCGTCAAAGCCTAAGCATAGTCTTCTGTGGCTGGCAGCACCATCCTTTCGGCTTGTGGATATCCGAGAGGACATCCTTTCAGGGTCTTAACTTCTTCATGAAGGCAGCACATGTGTGCAGCCCAGTAGTTTTGTCTCAACTTATTTTTTACCTGTGGAATTCTGGGAGGTCTGATCATCTCTCATTGCACACACTCTATATACCTTTCCATTTAAGATGGCTGTGTCTGCTGGTATAACATTCTCAAAAAAAACATGTGGATCTTCTGTTTATTTTATGGAGATTCACTGTAGACCAGAGGCTCCTCCACATATTTTTCCTAGATAATCCCAACTCTTTCTGACTTTTTCTGAGATGGCTGGAGGATCTATAAGTCATACCCCTAATCTCTTCAAATAATCTTTTGTGTGACTACTCAGGCCTTTCTTATTTTTCTTGAGTATTAGCAAAAGTTGTAAAGCTAACCCCTTATCTATTTCCCTAGAGCAGGCTTTCCTGAATATCTTCATTAATATGTGTGTGTGTGTGTGTGTGTGTGTGTGTGTGTGTGTATTGCTTTTAGAGGGAAAGGGATAGAGAGATAGAAACATCAATGAGAAAGAAGCATAAATTGGCTGCCTTCTACATGTTCCCTACTAGGGATCGAACCCACAACCCTGGCATGTACCCTGACTGGGAATCAAACCAGTGTCCTCTTGATGCATGGGTCAACACTCAATCAATAAGCCACATCAGCCAGGCCTAAATCTCTTCATTTTAATGTCTTTTTCTATCTGAGTAGGCTGAGAATTTCAAAGTCATCAAGTCCTATTTTCTTTATATTTATTTAACAATTCTCTCAATTTATCTGTCTCCTCCCACATCTATATATATATAAAAGCCTAAGCAATGGTTACAACCAGAATGACCAGTCGCTATGATGCACTCTGACCACCAGGGGGCAGATGCTTAACACAGGAGCTGCCCCCTGGTGATCAGTGCCCTCCCACAGCCAACCTCCTGTGGTCTCTCCCCCTGGCCGGTCAACCTACTGCTGCCCTCTCCCTGGCTGGCCAACCTCCCATGGTCCCTCATCCCTGCCAGCCACTGCCCCCCTCACCCCTCTTGTGCCCTGATCGGGGGGGTTGGCTGGCCAACCTCTCGGGTTTCCTTCCCCCAGCCAGCTGGCCCCCCATAGCTGCACCCTCCACCGTTTGCTTAGAAATCTCTTTAGCTAAATATAGTAAGTCTAGCACTTAAAAATTCTGCTTTTCACCTTACCACAGGACACACTTCAGCTAAGATTTTGTAGTATATAACTCTAATCTCTTTTTCTTTAGTTTCTAACAGTATGATCCTCATTTTCTTCCGAGCCTTCACTGGCAGCACCTTTAATGTCCTTATTTCTCACGACGATTTAGATATTTTCCATGACAGCTTACCATTCTCTACCATGCTCCTTACCTCCTTTGAACCCTCACTAGAATTCATACATATATTCAATAACAGTGTTCAAGGAAATCTTGACTTTTCCTGTCATTCTCCTAAATTTTCTCTCATCCTCTAGTCACTGCCCGATTTCAGAGTCATTCTGTACTTTCAGGTGTTTGCTGTGGCAACACCCCACTTTCAGGGATATAGAAATGTGTTCTGTGCCAACTCACTGCCAGTTGACTTGATATGCCAATAGGAGATTTGAAATTAACCTTTCTCAGGGGGTTCTGGGAATTTATTTACTTTTAATATGTTTTTATTGATTGTTAGAGAGAGAAAAAGGGAGAGAAAGATAGAAACATTAAGGAGAGAGAAATGTCATTGATCAGCTGCCTCCTGCACACCCCCACAGGGGATCTCCCACAACCCGGCATGTGCCCTGACCAGGAAGTGAATGTGAACTCCTGGCTCATAGGTCAACACTCAACCACTGGGCCACACTGGCCGAGTGGGGGCTCTGGTTATTTTAAGGCAGTGAATTTACTTATATGAGGGGTTCTAATACCGGAGTGCTATCAGAAATTCCACAGATAAAATGTTGATCCCACCACCACAAAGAAAATTTTTTCTGGATGTCATAACATAGAGTAAGAAGATTATTCCTGTATCTCCAAGTTGTTTTCAATGAGGAAAGAAACAACTTGGAGAATATATAAATAATAGTTCAAAGAGCTCTTGTAGTTCAAAAAGATGTCCAGGGATACCACTCTGTCAGGAACAAAATCATCTTTTTAAGGAAAAAATCTATTGAAACAAATGAGCGTACTATCTAATAAAAGAGTGATATGCAAATTAACCATCACTCTGCTGCACCCACAAGCCGCTCCCACCAGCCAATCAGGAGTGAGTATGCAAATTAAACCAACCAAGATGGCTACAGCCACAGAGTGAGTAGGAGGCTTGGGTTTCCTCGACAATGGAGAAAGCTAAGCTTTTTGCACACCCTGGCAGGCCCAGGCCTCCACTCAAGGCTATAAAGTTTAATGATAGAAGTTTTAAAAATCCCAATAAAAAATGGCAGCAGCCACAGAGCTGGAGAGAGCAGGAAGCTTGAGTTGCCCCCGGTGATGGAGGAAGTCAAGCTTTCTGCACACCCTGGCAGGCTCAGGTGTGCACTCAAGGCTACAAAGTTTCAATTATAGAAGATAAATAAATCCCAGATATCAGGACCTCCGCTTGGGTTGCCGGGGGACGTGGCCAGCCTGCAAACCACCACACGCCCCTTGCCCAGGCCACCCCACACCCCAAGAGAATCCCCACCCTGATCTGGGACACCCTTCAGGGCAAACCAGCCAGCCCCCACCTGTGCATCAGGCCTCTATCCTATCTAATAAAAGAGTAATATGCAAATTGACCATCACTCCAACACAAATGGCTGCCCCCATGTGGACACAAGAAGGCTGCCACAAGACAGCCAGCAGGGGAGGGCAGTTGGGAGAGAGCAGGCCTGCAAGGGAGGGCAGTTGTGGTGATCAAGCTTGCAGGGGAGGTCAGTTAGGGATGACCAGGCTGGCAGAGGAGAGAAGTTGGGGGGGACCAGGCCTGCAGGGGAGAACATTTAGGGGTGATCAGGCCTTCAGGGGAGTCCAGTTAGAGGCAAACAGGCTGGCAGGGGAGCAGTTAGGTGTCAATCAGGCTGGCAGGGGAGTGGTTAGGGGATGATCAGGCTGGCAGGCAGAAGTGGTTAGGGGCAATCAGGCAGGCAAGCAGTTGGGAACCAGCAGTCCTGGATTGTGAGAGTGATGTCCCAGATTGGAGAGGGAGGGTGCAGGCTGGGTTGAGGGACATACGCCTGCACAAATTTCATGCACTGGGCCTCTAGTTTTAAATAAAGACATTTTCCTGTTTTGGATTACCAAAACCAGGGGGAAATTAACCAATTTCTTTTTATCAGTTATGTAGAGTGCCTAGCACATATAAAATAGCTGCCAGTTTTGTATATAATAGTCTTCCAAAATATAGAGATTTGCATTAGGGGAGAGAATTAAACATCCAGAAGGGATGAACAAGACTTTTACATGAACTATATAGTATTTTGCTTCATTTAGAGTCATTTTCCTGATTTTTTATTTATTACAGTCATTGTAACTTTTAAAATCTATAATCATCTCAAAGGAGAATATGTCACAATGAGCAGTTAGACAACCATGTATGAAGTCAGTTGTTTTGCATGATGTGTGTAATCAAAAAGTTTTTAAGTGTCTGCTTACCAATAAAGAATGTTCTCACTGAAACTCACTGAAAAATTTTTCAAATTTTCCTTGAATTGTAGCTTTGAGTGGCTTAATAGAGTTTTAAGCATGAGTAACATTTTCTGTGATACAACATTTTAATGGGCAGAGAAGAACCTGAATTTTGGAGCAATGTTATCTCAATTTTCCATTACTCTTTCTATTTTTACTCCATAAAAATAAAGGTGTAAATTTTCATCAACTTTTGCCACAGTGGATATCTGAAAACCTGTCACATCATATATTGTTGATAAAGAGCATCATGTTTTCCTTTGAGTTTTTGTCTCTGGTCAGTGATGCAAAAAATTCAGTGGAGTAAAATTGAAGATCTGATTGGTTTCATTGAGCAATTCATGAGTGAGGCAGCATCCAGGGCTATAGAAAGGGGCAGGTTTTTAAAGGCCAGGCAAGCACAAAAAAAATTATTTCTGGTCTAGGTAACATATCTGTGGTGGAGAGAAAGGGTCTGTGGCAGATTACATCATCATCCTGTGAACAAAATGAGGGGCCAAGCTCAGGGGCCACTTGGCAGGCTACAAGCTGACAAAGTAACCACACTGGGTGGTCTGATCACATATTCCTAATGGGGTAGATCACACAGTCCAGGCCTATCACTTTCTCAGCAAAAGTCAGTCTTTACCTTAAGTGAGCCATGTCCATTGTTCTTATGAATCTAAGATAACATACCTTTGAAATGTCAGAGTAATTTTGTTTTATAGACTCCACAGAGCACAGCACAGAACCCCTCATTGTTGTCTTGTTCCCCGCATACCATCTCTGTGTGCTATAAATGCTAAGTACTTACTACTTTGTACCCACCAATGTATTATAGAAGAAGTATGTGTTTCTCCGTTTTGCCTTTTATCCTGTCCTAGAGATTTCCCCGCTTTGCTTTCTCCTGCCTCCTTAATGTACCAGCAGTGGACTTCATGTTTCTTCCCTGTGTTTTTTTCTTTGAATTTAAGTGCATGCATGAGACTGCAGAACTACCATTCTCTGGAGCATTTTCTCAGTCTGTTGAGATCTTGCTTTCAGGCATATTGTAAAATTTGGCTCAAATAAACTCTTACAAAATTCTCTGTTGGTTTGGATGTTCTTTCCTCTATATTCCTCTTACAGGTGGGTAAGGCTTATGTGGCAGATTACCTTATTGGTGATGGCCAAAAGATCTCACTTCACACTGACCAGTTCTGACGACACTCCTGGGGAAGGGGAAGCCTGGATAGCTTAGGTGTTAAGTCGTAGCTTGCGTAGCACGTGACTCCATGTGGGGCTGGTTTCTTTTTAACAGTGGTCAGGGCTTGTCTCTTCTAATGTCAACAGGTTTTATCATTCTTATCCTGGGATCAGGAATAGTAAAAAGTATAATTTTGAGTTTTCTGTCAGAATCTGTTGTTTAAAGAGGAACAAAAGTACAAATATTCAGAACATCAGTAGGTAAACGTGAAAGTATGAACATGGTTGAGTACAAGGGCATGGAATCTTCAATTGGGCCTGGACTTCTGAGCATAGCACATGATAGGATAAAGTAATATCTTTCTGAAAAGAAATGCTCTTCCTTTCTACAAATCATTCTCAGGCTTAACATTCCCATAACATTTTTATTAATGTGGTAAAACTATGCAAATAAATGTTTTATACCGGGTCTAGTAATAATTAATGTCGTTTTTAAACATTCGTTTAAAATCTTGCTTGGCGTTGACTTGTATTGACATAACCTTCAAACACGTGGTATCTACAGAACGTGTGAAGTGCAATTAACAAGTTTTGCTTGAAAAAGTTTGTGTTTGGTTTGGTTTTTGTTGCAAAACTAGGGCTAAGAAGATGGCGGATGAAGAGCATATTCGGCACTGCATGCTTTACGAGTTCCAATTAGGAAGAAAAGCAAGTGAGGCTGCAAAAAACATCTGTAGTGCTCTTGGTCAAGATGCAGTTAGCGCCAGAAAATGCCAGCGTTGGTTTGAGAAATTTCGCAAGGGAAATTTTTCGTTAGATGACAAGAGTGGTCGAGGCCGTGTGTCCAATTTTGATCAAGAAGCTCTTCAAGCTCTTTTGGTGCAGAATCCTCAAATTACCCAACAAGAGCTTGCGACAACTTTAAATTGTTCACAAAAAACAATTTCCAATCAATTGGGTGCACTTGGCAAAGTCCAAAAGTTTGGAAAATGGGTTCCTCATGAGTTGACCGACAACAACCGTAATCAAAGAGTCACAATTTGCAGTTCGCTCCTCTCTCGTCAAAACCGTTTGCCGTTTTTAGAGCAAATTGTTACCGGAGATGAACAATGGGTGCTGTATGTTAATTTGAAAAGGCGGCCTCAATGGTTGGGCAAAAATGAGGCTCCGCAGCCCACGCCAAAACCTGACTTGCATGCGAAAAAAGTGATGTTGTGTGTTTGGTGGAATTTTAAAGGAATTCTTCATTATGAACTTTTACCATCTAACCAAACCATTACAAGTGCAGTGTATAGTGCCCAATTGGAAAGGTTAGCCCAAGCTTTAAGAGAAAAAGAACCCGCGCTGATTAATCGGAAGGGCATAATTCTTCACCACGATAACGCACGACCGCATACTGCAAGAATCACTGCTGAAAAACTGCGCCAGTTGGAATGGGAAGTTCTCCCTCAACCTGCATATTCTCCTGATATTGCCCCTTCCGATTACCATTTGTTTCGTTCTTTGCAAAACTTTCTTCTTGGAAAAAAATTTAATAATGAAGAATGCCTCAAAAATGCATTGACCGAATTTTTTGCATCAAAATCACAAGAATTTTACAACAGAGGGATTAAAATGCTTCCTGAGCGTTGGGCACAAGTAGTAGAAAACAACGGCAACTATATTTTTGATTAAATTTTGTTGTATTGTTTAAATAAATTAGATTTTTTAAAAGTATTAGAAAACGACATTAATTATTACTAGACCTAATATGTGCATCATATAAAATGATGATAACACCCAAAGTAGGTGGTCTTTTTCCCATTGAGACCTATTTTACATATTTATAATGTAAGTAGATGTTTCTGTTTAAAATATTGTCTGCATAGGTGTTCTAGGGCAACGCAAACTAATCTGACTTTATATTCTTTAATATTAAGCATTATATGATTTATTTACAATAAGGAGCACATATCTTAGAGATAACTACTTGAGTTTCACATTTATTGAGGGCTTGCAAAGAGCAGAATCCTTTATTGGCCGCAACATGCTGCTTATAGTCAGTGTCACTGTTTGTCATTCTGATCTCAGTGTAAATGTGACTTCTTCAGAGACCCTTCCCTGATGCCCCACCTGAAATCATCCCCTCGTCTCTCTCAGTCACATACACTGTTTGCTATAGAGCATTAGCAGAACCTGGTAATTTCTGGTTAATTTGTCTTTTATCCCCATTTCTAACATTAAGATAATCTTTCCTGTTCCTCCTGTCATATGCCAAAGCAATTTAGGAACACAGTAATGTCCTTTATTTAAGGGGAAAATAATCCGTGAGTTGGAGGGTATGGTGCCTCACAAGCAGTGGAGCACTGTTCACAAAGAATTTGGGGCAAGAAGTGAGTTTTCTAGAGCATTAGATGAAGCAACTCGGGCACAGGGCAGGATTGGCTAAGAGGGCAAGGATTTCCTTGTAAAGGTAGGAGGTCCTATTTCTAGGGCCAGGTGAGCTAGCTAAAGCTGACTTGGAGGATTGTGGTTGGTGTAATAGATTAGTTTTCCTTGAGAGCTGTTTCCCATAAAAGCAGCTGACTTGGGGTTAGATTTGTGATGTGGGGCAGCCTTCATTTTGCGAGTCCCAATATATGAATTAATCTGATCACCAAGATTCTCAGAGTGCGAGTTTGTGAGAGCTTTGGTGTCTTATCCCTGCTGTATCCTTAGAACCTAGTGCAGTATCTTCAATGTAGGAGTCACTGAGTAAATGGTTAAAAGTAATAAGTCAGTAAGTTAAGAATGGGACCCTCTGAATATTGGAATATATACAATTGTGTATTTTTTGTTTTTGTTAATCCTGTGAAATGTGAGGGTTATTTTTTCCTTTTATTTTATTTTATTTTTTTAGAGGGAGGGAGGGAGGGAAGGCGGGAGAAACATCTTGGTGAGAGAGACACATGGATTGGTTGCCTCCCGCACACACCCCAACTGGAGATCAAACTTGCGGTGTGCTGGTCAGTGCTCTAACCACTGTACGCATCAGCCTTGGCTATACTTGTGTTTTAAAAGTGGGAGATTCCGAATAGTGCCAACAAAGTTAATAATGGCAGTAGAAAACATTTGTAGATTTTGATTGAGTTGTAAAGGAAGGAGCAGAGAGAAATGTAGAAGTGGCAACTTTGGCTCATTTCCAGGCATGGTAGCACTATACCTGAAAGTGAGTGGCCCTGGCCGTTCCAATGGTGGAATGTGGGTGAGGTGGGCTAAGAAATGCCCTCCTGAGATGCTAACAGTGTGTGAAATGCCTCATTGCCTGGATCTCTAAGAAGGAAGGTGCTGTGAGCCTAGAAGTGTAGGGGTAAGAAAGAACACTGCTCTATGAAGTCATGATGGAGACTCAGTCTGGTAAATTCTACAGTATTTGATTCCTCAGAAAAGTATGCTGGTCTTTTGTCATGTAATCTGATTGTTTATAATTACAATTTTTTATAATACCTCATCATTTATTTACTTTAATTCTGATAACCCCAAAAGTGAAAGTTGATTTAGTGAAATTTAATCACAATAAATTGGGAGTATGCTAAAATATATGTAAACACTTTTGTGAACTAAAAAGCTACAGAAAGATGATAATGGAGGTTTAATCACCTACCACTTGTGCCTTTGAAATCACACTAGTTTGAGGAGATGTTGACTTTGGCTGCACTCTCAATTTGGCTGAACTTATAAAGAAAATTCTCACTTGTCATTAGATATTGTTCCTGTTCTCTAAATTAACGACATTACTCAATCTTCCACGCAAGCAAGGAAAGCAGAAATGACCTGGAGTTACCGATTTCCAAATAACCTTTAAGCAGACAAGAATATCT